TGAGGACACAGCGAGAAGGCACTGTCTATGAACCAGAGGGTGAACCCTCACCAAACACTGAATCTGCTGGCACCTTGAACTTGGACTTACTAGCTTCCAAAACTAGAAGAAATAAATTTCTGTTGTTTATAAGCTGCCCAGTTTAAGTTATTTTGTTATAACAGCCTGAATAGACAAAGACATGCACCCACCAGAACAGGTAAATTTTAAAGACAGAGCAATTGCTGACAAGAATGTGGGGTAACTATCTATACTCTTGTTCTGTTGCTGGTGAGAAGGTAAAATAGCACAACCATTCCGGAAAACTAGCAGTTCTAATAAAGTTAAATCTAGACCTATCCCATGACCTAGCAATTCAACTACAACATATATACTCAAGAAAAATGTATGCATATGTCTACAAAAAGAATTGTACAAGAATATTTATAGCAGCTTTGGTCACAGTAGCCAAAATTGGAAATAACCCAATCGTCCATCAACAGTGGTATGTTCACACACAGGAATAACACTCATCAATAACACCAAAATAATACACTCAACAACACGTGTGCATCTCAAAAACGTTATGTTGCGTGAAATAAAAGTCTGACACACAAAAAATGTATATTCATTTATGTGAATTTCAAAAGCAATCAACACTAATCTGCAGAGATAGAAATCAGAATGGTATTCTTAAATGAAAAGAAGGTGGGTTGAATTGACTCTACCGACCTTTCTGGGCTGATGGAAAATGTCTATAACTTGATCTAGGTGATAGTTAACATTTGTCAAAATTCATCGGGCTGTGCACTTAGCATTTGCGCATTTTACTCTGTGTGAATTACACTTCAATAGTGTACTTTTAGCAAAAAAATTGGGGTAGAGGCGAAGCATGATACTGAGTTTAGGTTTTATTGTATTTATTAGGTTTTATCTTATTAGATTTTATTGTAAAATAAAGCGAATTCATAAAAAGCTCGGTGTTATTGCGTCTAAAAAGGCCTAGCTGACATTTGAAATATCTCAGCCAGAAAAAAACAGGTTGTTGCTACACCATTACACTAGCTGGAGCTACGGACAAGGTTCCTGGAGACTCAGCGCTTTACGTTTTGGGATGGTTCCTGCGCATGCTCAGACGTGGGGACCTGCCAACCTTTACCTGATTGCGCCCTAGTTTAGTGCGCGGTGGGGTTTACTTTCCTCCTGCCCACCCCGTGGTGGGGAGCCACGGTAAATCCTGATCTCTGACCGCAGCTAAGGGGCGCAGCCGGTTAGGGGGATTTAAAAAGTGAAAGTAAAACATATTCAAAATCTTGCCAAGAAAGAAGCCGGATATTACTGTGGCTCAGATTCGAGTCGAGGTTGGTGCGGCCACAACGCCGAGTACTAACCATTGTATTATACCGTGGCGGCGTACCATACATACGCCTGCTGGCAGCTAATATGCTTTTAATATTTCTTTTGGAAATCATCCACGATATTTTTCTGTTTTGTTCTAGGATCGGTGCAGGTTCTTGCATTTTTGTCTCTTTTGTGTCCTTTTTAAACTCATCTCCATTCTAATATATAATGGAAGCCATTCTCATCTCTCGGGACCCGGCCTTTGTACAAGCCTCCTGGGGGGTCTCACTGTCCTTGTCCATGCCTCACCTGCTCTTTCTCTCCTGCTCTTATTTCCCTTTTGTGCCTGCCGCATTCCCTCTCCTGCCCACTAACCCCACAGAACCCTCGGATCTCAGTTCAGTTGAAGGTGTGGAGCTCAAGCGGCGCAGATGGTGCAGTGTGGGCCCTTCCTCGCCCACCCCATGGGACTTTGCAAGCTGGGAAATCAATTAACCACAATAAAGCTTTTTTTTGAAAAAAGAACTTCCCCCTTTGAAAACCCTTTCATCTATTTTCCGCTCCCAGAATTCTTCGAAAGACTAAAAGCTTAAAGATGACAAAAGTGTGGAAATAAAGGAAGATCAAGCAAATGAGAAAAGCAACGGCTTTTTATTCTGAGTTTGCTATTGCGAGGGACGCAGCCACCGGCACTTGCAATTTGGACAGAACTTCAAAGGCAGGCGGAGGAGCGGGAAAGCTTTACAGGGGAAAAGAGGAAGGCTTCAGATGCGCCCTGGATGGAGGCTGCGGGCATGAAGCAGCTGCGGGCGGGCTAGCTAGAAGCGGGGCGTCCTGTGTGATGAGTTAGGAGTGTATATTTGGCTTTCTCTGATTGGTCCTAAGTTGCAAGTGGGACAAAAATTTAGGGAAGCTGCCAGTTATTAATCAAGTTCTGGACATTTTGAGCCGATTGTTAAAGATGTTATTGTTTGTCACTAGAGATACAGCTCGTGGTCTTTCTACAAGTCTGGCTTATAGCATATCTGGCTTCCTGGGTTATTTATCTGTAGCTAAGGGGACTGATTTCCTGGGCAGGTAGCCGCAGCTTGTGGATCAGAGTTCTATTTTTACATATGGCCTGGCCCTTGTCCTTTTGTATATTCTGTCTCTGAAATGTATTAATTCAAGAAGTCCTAACGAGTGCCCTGGGTGTTAAGCTGCCCGTGGGCCCCAGTTGCTCAGAAGGGGGTCGCTGTCCCGACGTCTCCGGAGGCGCTGCCTTCTTTAGGCAGGCGAGGGGCAAGGCGAGGCCGAAGGTCATTCAGCCGCCCCTCTGGTTTCGGAATCATCCAGTGCACGGGTTTCAGACGTGACGAACAACTGGATTTGTCGCTCTAATTGCTCCTTTTTTCCGAGGCTTTGGCATTTCCCAGCTGTATTGCAAAAGATTGGTGGTACTGGCTAGCATTTAGTGAGAATGTGCCCTCTATTAGAATGTAAAAAATCGCTTTCAGCCGTGTCTCTGTGGCGCAATCGGTTAGCGCGTTCGGCTGTTAACCGAAAGGTTGGTGGTTCGAGCCCACCCAGGGACGACACAAACGTTTTATAACATCCAAGGTGGTCCCGGTGGCTTCAC